AAAAACCTTAAGGGAAAAAAACTATATCTCATATGCCTCAATAACAAATTCTCTCAATATGAAGAGAATTGACAATTCTCCACCTGCATCAAACACTTCCCGAGAATAGAGGAGGCTAAACACAAGTGGAGCCTTTTATTCATAAAGAGTTTTGAAGAACAGAAAACTAACTGGCCACAGTATTAATTACAGCTGTAAAATCCAAGGCATGTGTGTATTATCATAAAATCCAGCAATAAAGAGGCAAAAAGTAACATATGAGAGCACTGGGACACAAAGCACAGGGGGTTTATTCCAGAGTGGCGAGCTTAGTGTCCTGTCTAAAAATCAACCACAATACTTCAATACATTAGCAAAAAGAAAGGAGTGGGCACATGACTCATCCCCATGAATATGCAGGAAGAAATGTCTGACAAACTCAATTCATGTGGGCAATGAAATCAAGAGACAGGGAGGCACCAACAGAATACTTCTCAACTTTACAAAAACCTAGAGAAGAAGTCCTCCCTAGGGGTGCTCTTTTGGAAGCTTTCACTCTGAGACAGAGGAAGCAATCTCCACCAAACATGTTCTGATCAGAGTTGTCTTGTAGCCAGGAGCAATGCTCCATACCATACTAAAATGCACAGGGACTGGCGTGAGAAGATGAAAAAGTTTCCTATGATAGGCAGATCTTACAGAAAATCCAAAATTCTTTTCGTACAAGAACCGCAGTAACAAAACATACCAAGGTCATTAGAAATGAAGTCAGTGGGGAGAAAAAAAAAACAAAACCAAATAAAACAAAACGTATTTTGCTTCTAAAAAGCAGAAAGGAACAGGTAGAAATAAATCCTTTTTTTTTTTTTAAAAAAAATGTAATTAAAATTATAACAAAAATTTCAAGAACTTGAGAATCAATCTCTCACACACTTAAGTGTCAAAACTCTAAGATAGAAATGAAGATGGTTCAGAAAGATGGAAGAAGCCACCAAATCATGTGACCCTAACATATGAGGGCCAGTGGAAGGTATGAAATGTGTATGTATGCCAAAGGCCAGGGTTCTTCTGGTGGGAGTCTCCTATAGCACACCCAACACTGAATAACCTTGGTCAACACAGCTTTCCCACCTAGAAATCATATAATGAATGAGACATTTTCATAGACTTGTGTCCTTTTCCTGAGTTGGGAGCTCTCCAAATTCTTGTCATGGTGGATGGGAAAAAAATAAACAAACAAAAAACCTTATCATTCTTAACATGAACTCACCACCATGTGAGGATACTATTTTGTAAATTTCAAGGCACTTAGCAAACATGATTAGGACACTACCCAGGAAGGTAAGTGCAGGTCGTTCCTGTGGCCCTACTCCATGCTGTGTTGGGTGAATTCAGGACAAATTCAATGGCTTCAAATGAAGCCCTCGGATCCCTCCTCTCTTAGAAACAAAAACTACTGGCCACATGTTCCTGTAAATGTTTTTATGGCATATTCAACAATATGGTCTCCCTCAGCATTGCATTGTCCTCATGATACCTTGCTAATGCTCTTGTAGGCTTTTGTCCATTACTCTTTGTCCCCTTTAGCATGCTTTTCTCAAGGTAAACCCAAAATAGGCAACTGATATTCTGCTGAATTCACTCTGATTTTAACTGTATTTAACTTGCTTCCTCAACACTCCTTTCAAGTGAGTACAGTCCTACTTTATACATTTACGTGTCTATGTGTCATTTACACACTAGATTTGTAGTTCTCAACCTGTGGGTTGTGACCCCTTTGGGAGTTGAATAACCCCTTAATAGGGGTCACCTAGGACCATCAGATGACATAGATAATTACATTAAAACTCATAATAGTAGCTAAATTACAGTTATGAAGTAGCAAGGAAAATAATTTTATGGTTGGGGGTCACCACAACATGCAAAGCTGTGTTAAAGTGGCGCAGCATTAAGAAGGTTGAGAACCACTGCTCTAGGCCTTCTGCAGGAATGAATCCCTATCTTGCTAGGCTCCTTCAATCCTACCACCTCTTTGTAGCTTTGCCTAGGTGCTCAAGAACATGCAGCTGGGGGTTGGAACCATCTGTAGGAGTGACCAAGACTTTCAATATGCTGTGTATACCTGTTTAAAATTTGCATGTATTAGAAAAAGTAATCAGCTAAGAAAAAGCAGGAAGGATAAAATACTGTTTTTCCCATATATATATATATATATATATATATATATATATATATAAAATTTTTCTGACAGTAGGATGGAAGTCTTGCTCTTAAGAGCTTCATGTAAAATATTCTTTGTTGCCAAAAGCTGGGTAGACGTTTTCCTGGTTTGTAAGCATAGAATTACAATAGAATTCCAAGAGTGTGACACATGACATCCCACTTGAATGGCCTGCAGAGACTTTAAGGTCACTGTAATAATGAATGTAAGAATTAATAGGAGTTAAGCCCATTGAGCCTTCCTGTGTTGCAGCTGGGCACAACAGCGCTCTGTTCATTGCCTGTAAACACATTCTGGGCATGGCCACCACAGCTGTGTTAGGCACAGCTGCCCCTCAAAAACTCTGTAGAGATGGGAGACTGCTTAAGTCACTCAGCCCTCTTCTCCCATCAGACACATTTCCTTTTTACATTATCAGCTACACAACAGCTACATTTGTGTTCTAGAGATATTTAAGAATGGAGGCAGTTGTACCAAACACCATCTTCCTTCCTTGGCCTTGCCCCCACTCTACATCCTCTTATCCTCCTGACTTCCAGTACATTCTTCACTCTTTTTTTTTTTTTCATACTTTTTTTCTGTCTGCTCAAGGCCTTTTGTGATGTGCCTTGCCTTCAAGCATCACCACTTTTCTCCCTATCCCATGTACATATTGCTTCCCCTGTATCTTCTCCAACAGTGGTCTTCAACCTATGAGTTTTGTCCCCCAAAAGACCATTGGAAAGCACAGTTATTTATACTATAGTTCATAACAGTAGCAAAATTACAATTGTGAAGTAGGGATGAAAATAATTTTAAGGTTGGAGGGGGTCACCCCTACATAAAGAACTGTATTAAAGGGTCGCAGCATTAGGAAGGTTAAAAACCACCGTTTCACTGTGCTTAGATTTGAGTCTAAGCACAGGGTGCCCATCTGCTGTCACCTCCATCTCTCATTTGTCAAACTCTCCTCTCCAATTCCCTGAGATTGCCTAGTTGCGTTTTCAGTCTTGCCTTCTAGCTCCCTCTTTTAAGTCACCTTCTGTGCTCATCAAGCTTCCCATAGTAACCTACCTGACTATTATCTACTAAAGCTATACAATTCTATTTGGCTATTACTATTTTTCTCCATTACTGAAAAGACTAGATTCTTGGAGAGTGATAATATTGCTGTATAGCAGTAACAGAAGCAGGTTCAAATCCAAGCTCTAAGGCTTAATTACAGTGATCCTAGGTCATATTAGCAATCCTTACCATGTTCCGTTGGGAATGACTCCATTCAACACTGGGTGATTCTAGAAAAATTTCACTGTATAAACGGCTGCACATAGCACAGTGGTTGGGCAACATACCAAGAGCTGATGATACTGCTATCCATACAGTTACCATGTACACACTGTCATTCTCAGCAAAATGGGTTAATAAAGAATTATCCACTCTCCCCATTATATGTTACTATTCCATATGCTTTGGTTAAATATTTGTAAAGCTAATCTAAGGCATGATTTTTTAATTATGTTAAACCTAGGAAAATATATCAGATAAGGTGCCAACATATGTCAGCATAAATCTTCACACTCTAATTCCTTTCTCTTCAGATATTAGGAATGAAAATTACACTGTGTAAATTTAATAAAAACCTGTGTGATTGAAAGTGTTTCTTTTTCAAATTTTACTATTCTTAATTATGTGCATGTGTACATGTTTGTATGTGTCTGGCTGTAGGTATGTACAAGGGAGTGCAGGTGAGTGATCCACTGAAGCTAGCCATGTCAGATCCCTAGAGATGGAATTAAAAGCAGTTGTTAGCCACCTAATGTGGGTTCTGGGTATTGAGCCTGGCTCCTCTAGAAGAGCTTCAAGTGATCTAAACCATTGAGCTCTCTCTTCAGCCCCTGAACACTGTTTTTATTTAGTTTTAACCAAAGATGCATTCAGCTATTACATGGCTTATGCTTTTAATTGGAGCACTCATTAGGCTGAGGCAGGAGAGCAGCCATGAGTAACAAGCCAAGTTGGACTACATAGTCATTTCCAGCTTGCCTGAGCTACAGAGTAAAGTTCTAATTCAGCCAGAGATACAGAGAGACGATAGCAACACAAACGACTATGCTGTTAATAAGAAGTTATATACTGCAATGATTTTGGACTTCTAACTGAAAATAAACAATATTCAAAAAACACACATATTTATCACATATAACTCCCTGATGTTAACTATCACTTGAGATTTACCTTCATTTTTATGCAGAAATTTTCACTGGATATGTAACACTAGCTCTGCACAGGTCCTCTCTGCATATTATTATGGCTTTCAGTTTATATTTTCTGGGGCTTCCTGAGTTTGCAAATGAGTGGCTCTCTGAATCTTGTGTCTTCACTGGGGTTCTTTTCATTTTGTTGATTCATTCTGTCCAACTTCAATGTGATAGTTTTTGTTTTAGTTTATTATATTTTATTTGTTCTTATCAGAGGTCTGTTCTTTTCATATGGGAGATGGGTGGGAAGGGAGGTGGGCAGGAAGTGGGAGGAGTAGAGAGAGGGGAAGCTGTAATCAGTATACACTAAGTGAGAAAAGAATCTACTTTCAATAACAGGGAAAAATAGTTGTGCTCAGACAATAAGTGTAAACTGAGCCATATCTTCACCCCAGTTCTGAAGTACCCCATATCTGAGGAGCCCAAAGGCAGCCAAAGTCACCCTCAGTTTATGTAATACCATTGTTTTCCTCATCTCTTACAGGACCCCATGCCCTCCTTCCCTCACAATCCTGTGTGTGTCAGGTCTAGTTTATACACCGCTACAAATGGAAAGAACTTACTTCTTAATCCTTTCTCCAAAAGAAGCGACTTCCTCCAAGATGTTCTGGACAGTAGAAACAATATCCTGTACCATATAGATTCTCTCGATTAATCCCTTTTTCTCAGATTCCTGGGAAGCATAAAAAGCAAGATTTATATTAGCTACTTAAAAACAAAACAGTTATTTCAAGAGAACAGCCACATTTTCCTGAAATGTTTATTGATTGCTAGATACAAAGGCCAGTTCACTCTTCTGGTTACTTCTACTTTGGCTGGGAGCCCCATTCACTGGCTTAGGGTCCAGAGATGATAAGAGGTGGTCCTTGGGACTAGAGGCTTCAGGTCCCTGCAGAGAATTCTACAATTGCTTCAGCATGGCCATCCTTAGGTTATCTAAAGTACACCAAAGCCCTCTTCTATGGCAGTGATGCAGATATGCTCCCACAGTAAGAGCCGGTCCCTTTGGAGGTACACACAATTCATTTCTGAGTACTGTGACTTCATATGCAAACTGTTGCATTTTAATCATGTTTCCAACACAATGCAGACATCCAAAAACTTTGTTATCCTTGGGCAACTACAATATATTTTACTGTGCTAAGTAGCTATAACACTGTAAATACAATTTAATAATGGCTCAAATAGAAACTCCTACAGTGGTATTTTTACACTATTTCTTGGCTTGTGCTCTTCCCTACTATTGTAACAATTCAGCCTATTACACTTGCTATATACAACACAGCTCTTTATAAAACTTCCTTATTGAGACTGTTACTTGGATTAGAGTTAAGATAAAACATCATGTAGACAATCAGTAGGAGAATACTCTTAGGATATTCTCTATGCAACAAAAGAAAGAAGAACAAACAAACACATCTTCATCTTCTATGTGTACTTCTTTTAAATAGAGCCATGAATAGAATGAGGAAGCAGGTGCCCCCTATGGTGGCTGCAGGTAATTATACCAACAGGGCAGGTATGTGTCCAATCTAATCACTCATGAAAGTCACCCCTACCCCATCATTTGGTGCAGAAGGAAACATCCAGGTTGTTGCTGCTTCTTGCAATGGTAACTTTGTGAGAGAGTTTCATTCCCACCTTAATTTTGATTTATTTTCCACCTACTGTCATTCTTCAAGTAGTTTGTGCTAAAAATTAGACATGCTGCTTAAGTGAACCTCATTCATACTCAGCAACCCACAAATGCCTATGAATAGGCACAATGGTCAAAACCCATCTCTGTCTGCTACATAAGCCTTGCGTTTACAAAAGAGCATTTCAAGGCTCTGGAGAGCTTGACCCAAAGGGCAAAGGAGCTTCCCCCTTGCAGCAGCATTGACTTTAGGTCAAAACAATTTCTTGGAAAATGACTCAGACTTCCGTGTAGCTCCATTTCCTAAAAAACTTCCCATTTTTATCACTTGAATTTTTTTCCCACTACAAAACAACCAAAACTTTAGGTTCTGATTAGGAAGAAAGTGTTAATTAGTACACCAAACTAATGAAGGATTGTGACAGCATCCTTCCAGTTTTTAAGTGAATTTGACATTTTGCTGTGAGTATTTGGTCTCCAAAATAAGACTCAGACTTGTATTTTTTTTCTTGAATCAGAGTAATCAAAATCCTGTACTTTTTAAATTATGTATCAACTAACTCATTTTGATTATATTAGCCAAATTACAAAATGACTTCATTTTATTTTCATAGCATATTGTTTCAAAACAAAAACATATAGTATGTATACATAAAAGTGAAAACAAGTCTTCATGTTGATTATGTGAATATTTCGAAGTGGCATATGTGGTCATATGTGGAACAAAAACTCAAATGAGCTCAATAAATACACTTTATTTCTGGTTGTACTTTCATCTTTTATCCTTATGTCACAGGATGTACATGTTAAGGACTTTCATTTTCTCATTTATAATATGGTGTTCCTAACCATCTTCAGAGTTGAACTTCATGGCCATTAAATTGACATCTTAATTGACACCACTGTAGATAAAATTAAGAGAGATTTCTCAACAATAACTTAGGTACCCTGAAAACTCACAAGCATGACAGATGGAAGATAGTCTCAGTTCTGTACTACAATAGCAAATTTATACACCAAGGGTATATTTTATACCCCTTCCTTTGGACTTTTTCGGTTAAGCATCTTTAAAGACACTGCTTTACAAGAAATATTCGCTTGTTTGATTATTTCATAGAATTTATTCTGAATGACCAATGGATTTACTATTTTCTCCCGTTTCTAGATATATTTTATGTTCAAATATTTTTATCACAATTTAAACTAAAGCATGGTTATGATGTGCTTGGCCATTCTCTCCCCCATGATATAATATAGCTAGAGGACCCCACCGAGTCGCCAGTCTTTCCAGTCCTTCTTTCTATCAGGACCATGAACTACATAGGAATTTCTATAAAGACCCTATTCTAGCACTGGGTGATTTGGTACAGCAACACCAAGCAATCTAAAATATAGCCAGCATGCCAATGACTACTTTTTGGAGGGTAGGAGTGAGGAGGGAGGGAGGGAAGGAAAGGGAACTGGGATCAGTATGTAAAATAAGAAAAAGGAAAAACAAATGGAAAAATAAACACTGAAGTTCATTATCCAATTTTTAAAAGTGCAGAATTATTCAGTATAATAGTTGAAATATTCCTATATTCAGGCCATTTTCCATCATCCTATCAATGGCATGAATAAAATTCTGAATATTTTCATTATATATTTTCTCTATAACTTCTTAATCCTCCCAATAACCATTCTGCATTGGCAGTTTGGGGATTTTGGGTGTCTTAGAGCAGTCATGGCATGGAAGGCTGATATAACAGGTGGATGGTGAAGCAGAGGAATTGTGTGGTTTTCCACCAGTCCCTGAAACAAGAACAGGCTAGTATTATGTTCTGCCAGTGATCATCCATAGCCTTACCTCTAGGGAAAGTTAGTTCCAGCTCCTTGCAGGAGTCAAGGATGGATAATCTCTGCCTGTCTGCTAAATTTAATCTACTATTTGTCTTTGAGAAGTTTATTATCCACACATGAATTCCAGAGGATACTAGTAAAGGCCATTGAAAAAATCCAGAAACCTAGGTAACTTGCTCCAGATTGTTTTATTGTAAATATTAAATACAATATTTAGCTCTAAAATGGAGACTATTGATAAATGCAAGCTTTGGGGGAAAACGAGATGTGTGATATATCGTTTTCCTCTGAAATTTATTAGTACAGAGAGGGATCAGTTCTTTCTAGAATATTCATTCAGTTGGAGTGCATTTCTTCATTCATTCCCATACCCTCTACAGAATCCCTGCATAAGACATTTGATGTTCATATATGACACAGCATATGCCCAAATGAAGGATGTATTCTCATGTCAAAGATATCTTCTTTTTCTCTGGCTCTGGTGGTCTTTTGACAGTGTTTCTCTGTGTTGATCAAAGCATTGTAGTCTCTAAATTATAGGAAGATGGTATTCGTATTTTCATAGTTGTATATGTGATCAGCATCTTCCCATTGTGCTGTTCACTGGTGGAACTTACTAGACCAGCAGATAAAACTAGCTTGCTCTATCTAACTATACTCTCAAGATCCACAAAATTGCAGCAAGGATGCCTCAAGGCTAAGATGAGTTCTTAATAGAGAAATGGTAGATACAGGGAAGAGCAGGGCCTCGGGTTTGTAATAATGTCAAAGTACTATTCAAAATGACCTGTGAAACTGGTCAGTGCATGACATCAAGCAAGGTTCAAGGTATCATAAATGTATGAAAAAAAATGTCAAATTCAAGTTCTACGGGATTAGAGAAGCCTCCTCAGGATACCCACCCACCCTGACTGTGGTCTATTCTCTTATATTATGCCATACTCAGGCCTCTAGTAACATATTAACATATTTATTCATTTTCTGCACATCAAGAGTTATTTTTAAAGTCAACAATCTGTCAGTGGGCATGTCACAAAGGTATATGCCCATCTGTTTCTAAGAACCTAGAGTCATAAGGCAGTAAGAAATTTGTCTGTGTTTACATACATGTGTCAATGAACTTACACCAGGGCTGGCAACTGCTAAGAAAGTGTTACTCCATAGAAGTGTCATAAGTTTTGGGTGGCCTTTTATTATTATTATTATTAGTTAGTTAGTTAGCTTACACCAGACTCAGTTTTCCATCCCTCCTCTCCTCCCAGTCACTCACTCATCCACCTCTGTTCCCACACACCAATCCACTCCTCCTCCATGCCATATCAAGGTCCAGTAAGACTAAGCACCTCTCCATGTATTAAGGTTGGGCAAGGCAACTCAGTATGAGTAGGGTCTCAAAAGCCAATAAAAGAGGCAGAAATAGCCTTTGTTAGCACTGTTAGGAGTCCCACAAGAGGACTAAGCTACACAACTATAACATATGCAGGAGGCCTTTTTAAAATACCCATTCATTCAACATTTGTTCTTTCTGTCATTGGCTCTCCATGTCTGTGAGTTTCTGTTCTCTCCACTTTCCATAAACTGCTTCATTTTGAGAAACTGGGTCCCCCTAGGTGTTCCTCCCTCACATTTCCCCTGGGATTTTCTTGTGCAGCTTTCATAAGAATGTGTAATATTTGATGCCTTTTGAAAATAATTTTTGGGAAAGTTTCACTCCATTTTCATCTAAGTAACTGATAGGTAATCAGTGATTTTACATCAACAGATGAAAATTTAGATAAAATGTAAAACTCCTAAGATGTGAATTCCATAGGCCTGCACATCCTGGAAACACATTAATCTGTATATTAGCAGACATTTTGCTCCCTTGCTACACTGCAAAATTATATCAAATAAGGTATGTCGATTTTACAGTTTTAAAAGTAGCATCTTCCTATATAATAATGCACACAAAACCATTAGTATTATTTGTATTTTTAGGAAAACAAAAGTATATCTCTGAACAACTGTCTATGGAGTTGGGGACAAGTGGTGCTGGTCTGGTCCTGTCATGAATGAGCTTTGTGTGTACATTAACTGACTTGGATTGCTATGACAGAATACATGAGGTGAGTGATTGACAAAGTAAAGAGGTTATTTGGCTCATAATTCTCATGGCTGCCAGACTCAAATAGCATGGTACCAGTATCTTGGTGAGCTTC